ACTTGTGTTTAAAAACGGACACTCGGGTCCAATTCAGACAATTGTGTCTAATATCGGACTACAGTGTCTAAAATCAGACATTCGTGTATAAAAATCGGTCATTAGTGTATTGAATCCTATCGTAATGTCTAATGTCTAAAAAATCGGACACCACTGAATGTCTAATGTCTAAAATCGGACACCACTGATTAAAATTAGATCAGTGTATTATCATTTAGACCAGTTTTTAGAACTGTGCCGAGTATTCACGTCAATCTCGCTTTACAAATCAAAGCCGGCTAGAGAATCATTTTTGAAGACCTCAAATTGGATTGTAATTGGTTAAATAATTATTTTACCTAAGACTTCTTGGCATGAGTTTGCTGATAGACCTTTTGTTCAGTTCTTCGCGATTATTTAGTGTACGAAGATGGTCTACACTCAGTATATAAGTAAGATCGCAAAGTTTATGGTTGAATCCTTTCAAAATGGATTATAAAATGACTCCTGTTAGCGTGACTATGGCCTACGTTGGCAAAGCTTGGCACAAAGACAACCTTTTATTGATTTGATATCGAAAAAAAGAAAAAAAAAATGAAAAAATTCGAGTTCCTCAGACATCCTACCATGAAGCACCAAGGGATCCTAGACGATTTGAACTCGCGCTGAGAATTTTAAGAAATGACTTTAACGTCAAGTTAACAGGGAGAAAACGGAAAAGAAAAGTTCTGCAGGAACACAAAAGTCCACATAAAAGCATACATATTGTGACTTCCTGTAACCCTTCCCAGTCAGCGTACGTGATTCAGCTGCCAAGTGGACATAAATCACTTCTTGAAATTAATAAGATCATGAAACCTGGTTTTGTTTAGAAGGTCACTCAAGGTGAATCAGAGTTGGCAACGAAAACAGACAACCAGAGCCAAAAAAAAACAAATTCAGGGAGATTACCAGGAAACACATGGGCTGACTTCATTGCAGTCAACAGGAAAATCGTCATAAACCTAAGCGCCCCAATTATGCAAAAGATTTTGTCTCTTCCATCACAGAAAATGTGCATAACTGTAGGAGGATAACGTCATTTAACTGACACTCCTTCAGTTCCATCTACCCTCGTTTTAATTGAACAATAACGTGGTAGCACAGACATGTGGCGCCTTCTTTCAGAGGATATCCGTTGCATGTTATTTCATTACACAAACTGTAGACGCAGGCGGATAAACCATCTAGCGGTGCCATAAAAAGTGCCGTTGCTGTTCTCCGCTTTCCAACCATCCTGTTTGTCGAGTGATCAAAATTCAGTCGGGCGCATTTTGGCGGTAAGTTCTATTGTAGTTTGCAGTTTGCAATTCATTCGCAAATTTGAATTCATAAATGAAATTCAAACTTCATTCGCAGGGGAAAATGTTCGAAATAATTTAAGCCTCAGAATGCTATTTCTCCCCTTAATTTTGGAACTTAATTGATTCGTTGCGATAAATCGTTCCAAAACTCATTCAAATTGCCACATTTCAATCGATCAGTTTGCAACAATGTAAAATTCTCTGCTCTTTGATCTGCTCTTTAAGCTCCTTCGAATGTGTTTGTAGTTGAGCGACTCAAGAATGGTGACTTTTTTAACCTTTCGTTTAGCCATTCGTAGGAGCTCTTGTGTAAACTTGGTTTCCTCTCAATTAACTCAAAAATTTTTAAACCAAACCTCCTCAGATATAAAAGCAATTTACTTCACATTGTTGGTCAGTCCTTGTTCCATCGAAACGAGTTTGAAGTTGATGAAAATTGTCTTTTCTCATTGTCTGTCTGTCTCAGTAGTGTATAAAACTTTACGGAGAATTTAATCTACGATTACTCGCACGGGTGAAAATGTTGGAATCAAAAAGTGCACAGTTGCTACTTTAATTGCTTTCTAGGTCTGTGTGAGTCTTATCATCAAATCCCGCATTTTTCTCCTAACAGGAACTTCTGCATCTTCTGTTCCAGTGATGGCGTATCTGTTTTCATTCCTGATCGTATTTGTTGTCCTAGGTTTGTCATCTGCTAGCCCTACTAATATTGAGCGACGAATGAAGAAACAAGTACGTTATCGATCAAACTTTCCTGTTGCACGCTTAATTAAATTCTCAGCCGTCCGGCTCGTGTTGTCCCCCAATAATTCAAAAGATTTCACAACTGTCACAGACTAAAGTGCAATTTTGATCCAACAAGGTCGTGGATTTTAATCTCGACATCATCGAGGGTGGAATTGGCTACACTGAGAAAATCGAGGTGGATCTTGAAAAACAAACAGAATTGTTTCAAGTTCCTACTCATCCTGGTGTGGATCGCAGCGATGTGTTGCACGATTTCAAAAACGTAAGTTATCCTGCCTATTTATCAATGTAAAACCCTTTACCTTATCGTCATTAAAGAAAAGTAAAGATTTGATAGAGTATCCATTGGCACAATTACGGCGCAAACAATATAAAGGAACTCATACTTAACATAATTTTAATGGTGACGCAGTTAGACATCAATTTACTAAAGTCTCGCCTTTTTCCAGCCTCCCACGCACTCGGTTCTTTCAGAGAAGTATTATATTTCGTAACAATTAATTTTGTCTTATACTTCTAGTAATCATAATATTTTCTCGTTTCATCCCTAGCACTTTGTTGTTTTCCAAACTCGTCTCTCATTCCTCTATTGAGTTTTCCAGCAAACCAGCAATCATTAATTCGTCATTCTTAATTCTTTCACATTTTTTTCACAGTGACCTCTTCTTGTTTGTCTCCGCAGAATTTGACCATGCTGCGCTTCCCGAAGAGCAAGATCTGTTACCTGTTTCCTCTCGTAAAACGTCAATCGAGGCCAGAGAAGCTGATAAGAGACCATAAGAGGGCTCAGAAGGTGTGTAAAAACATGATATCCTCCAACTGATGGATAGGTAAATACTTATCAGCGAAACAAGATTGCGCTGATCACTTGGGAGCAAAAATAGGCCTTGAAGATCTGAGTTGTAAGCGCGAGAACTCTTCTCTTTCAAATATTTCTCCCTTGTTCTTAAACTCCTCATTCAAAACTTGCTGACGAGTAGATAACATTATTTCCTCAGAAATCAAAATATGATACGAGTGTTAAATATTCCTCTTGACACTTAAAAAGGGAAGTGTTTAAATTTAAAGGAGTATGGGCCGTAGAATTTTGGGGGTATCACACGGTTTTCAGAGGGTAGGAAATATAAAAAATTTATAGGGGTAAGCTTAGGTTAATTTTGCTCCTCGAATGCCTTTTCACCTGTGACATGAGATTAGGGTAACATAAGATAAGGGCCCACTGATTATTTATCGCCGAAGGGGGGAGGGGGTTCGGAGGATTTTGGTCGTGTCAAAATTAAGTCTACCCGATCCCCACATGAGGTTCTGTAGTATTCTAACGAACATCCTTCATTGGCAGTCAATATTCTACCGTCCCCCCCCCC